GAACCGATTGCTTGTAGGGAACAAAATACAGAATGTCCCGAAACTCCCGAACGCCCTGGAGGCTCAGCGGGGCTCGTGCCGTCGAGTAGCCGTTTTTAGTACCAGGCGCTCGACGACATAACCCCGCTGAGGGAACAAAGGATCCAAGATGGCCGACCGCCGCATGGTCGGTAGTCGAACGACGGCCACCCAGGAGAGCCTCTAATTTTCGATTGCAATATTGTTGCAATCGGTTAACTAGCGCCACACGCCTCTAAGTGTGTGGTCTATTATGGGTCTTTGCGTTCGGTTCACGAACGGCCCTCCAAAGTGCCGTTCGTTAAACGAAAGGGAATCCCCATACAAACCGCCATTTGCATTCGGCGGAACAGATAATTACAGGTAATGCAGGGAATACATGAAGCAGACACATACAGGTTAAAACGCATATCTCTCCAGACCTATAGGCAACCCTTAAAGGCATAGTGTCCAGTTATAGTCCAAGTGGCTAGGTTTGCCACAACCCTGTGCTAAGAACAAAGTAGCCATGCAGGGGAGCCATTACATCTGCTTGTGTTTTCTTCTATCTATCGTTACATGGCCGTGAATGTTCGGACACTGGAACCATGGTTCCTGGTGTTCCAGAGAGAATCCATCCCGTGGCATGTTGAGATTCAAATAATATTTGTAGCTGGATAGACACTTATATCTGAATTGCAAAAACTGCAAACAGTATGTTCTCCTAGAGCTGCAGTTTATTGAATCCCCATTTTACATGTGTGTTGAGATGCCTGGCAGCAATCCAGTATATGCCAGCATACTTCTGTGCAGCACATTGCCATTTAAGTGAGAGACAAATATACATGTCATAGAGACTGTCTGGGCTTCTCATTATCCTGAATAAAAAATATTAACGCTCTTGGTCACGCTTGACATGCCAGAGGTTCTCATTACTTTATTTCTCAGTTATAATCCAAACGAGAAGCTATGAGTGATACTGTGAGGCATGGGCACACTTTTTCTCATTGTGAATAAGAAATTTATGGTGGGCACAACTGTGATGTCATACACATATGCATGACACGCAGAGCAGAGGAAGGGGAAGAGACCAGATTTTATTGTAAATAAATCATTGGGAAATATGAGAATCTAGTGACCTGATGGACAGAACATTCAGGGGAGTGTATTATTTACAATAGGTACTTTATTAAACATAAAAAAAAAAAATAAAAAAAAAGAACTCCTGCTGAAATATGATATTAATCATTCGGGTATTCTTTCTGATGCTTGGAGAAAATAAAGCAAAACATGATGATTATCCTCCCGATCAATAGTATTGATTGATTGATTTTTATAATTTTTTTTACTGCTCAGCCTTTATCGTTTCAATCCTTTTGTTGAATCAAGCCACGATATCACCTATTGTGAGCATATGAAGAAAAGGCATAGCTGCTGCACTACTAATATTCTCACTACTTTTATTAATAAGGAACTCCAAGCTCCACAGTCACAGTTTAGGTTACTGTGCAAAGATCTATATGTCAGTCTGCCTTCTCTTTGTTCTTCCATAACTGCAGCAATTTGCAAAATCAGCTGCAGCAATAAGCCCACCCTTCATTGAAAAGGACACTATAGTCACCAAAACAACTTCAGCTTAAAGTTTTGGTGTAGAGAACATGCCCATGCTTAAATCTCTGCCATAAAGGAGTTAAATCACTTTGTTTATGCAGCTCTAGTCACTCCTCCCTGCATGTGACTTACACAGCCTTCCTAAACACTTCCTGTAAAGAATCATCTAATGTTTAGACTTCCTTTATTGAAAAATCTTTTTAATTTAGAATTTCTAAACTCCTGCTCTGATAAAGGGACACTGTAGGCACCCAGGACACTTCAGCTAATTGAAGTGGTCTGGGTGCACTGTCCCTTTTGCACTTAGTGCTGCGATGTTAAACATTGCAGTTCCATAGAAATTGCAGTGTTTGCATTGCAGCTCTAAGTCTTTTAACCCCTGTGTTGCTGGAGGTACATCTCCAACTCTGTCAGCACTCCACGGATTCAAGATTTCCGGGCTGGCTAATGTCAATTATGCATAACTTTTGATGCACAGACACTCATTGTTCTGTTGAGAGCGATCTGAAAGCCAGATGTCATAAATCCACCAAGAGAAAAAAAATCAAGAGCCTGGTGGGACCCAGGTACCAGGGCAAACCGTTACAAAATGGTTTGCCTCATTGCTGGGGAATGGTACCAGGGTACACATTGCAAAGGAATGTAGCGGTTATGTTGCTTGACATAACCCCTTAACTAAAATAGAGCAGGAGTTGAGTTATGTATCCTGCAATGGTGGAGAGGAGGTTAAGATTTAAAGGGACACTCCAGGCACGGAAACAACTTAATCTAAATTAAGTTGTCATGGTGGCAGGAGGTCCCTGGAGACAAATGGTACTTTTCTTTCCAAGCCAGTTTAGTGAATGGGGAGTCACTGATTGACTGAGAGCATCCGTTGATCGCTCTCAGCCAATCAGAGCCACCCTTGCCTGGCAGCACTCTGCACTTCCTGAATCTGAAATTTCAGAAGCCAGATGCTGTCTAGCAGAGCAGTGGACGTTACCGCTGGAGGCAGCTTGAGGTGATTTAATTTAGATAAAGTTGTTTTGGTGCCTGAATTGTTCCTTTAACATATCCTAAATCAGCTAACCGTTTCAGGACACCAGTGGTACCAGTACATTTTCTTCCACTTTTTCACTTTATTAATAAGAAATTATGAGTCCTGTATATATCAATATGCTACATTTCTTATGCATCTTGTACAAAATAGGCAGACAATAAACTCCCTAGCTCAAAACTAGATTGTGCAGCATTGAAATGACACTCATACGCATGCTGGGACTTTGTCCTAAAACCATTGTCCCAATGCAAATATTTTTAATATTTTGACACTGTTAGTCTTTTAAAGACTAATTATTTCAGTTTAAAATGATTTTAAAACTCTCCTATTGACTGCTGTACAAATATAAATCTGTAAAATATTTACACATTCATGACAAAATTAACAAGTGTTCATAAAGCTGACTAAAGTCCCACAGTATTAATACTCAGCAGAACGTTGATTGAGTGATTAAAATTGAAGCTGTTGGAGATTGTACACCCAGGTCAATCACTGCTTGACTATTGTATCAGGCAGGTGCGATAAATAGGAGATTTTTCCTTTTGGGGTTCCATCATTGAACAGGACTTTGTCACTAGCTACTTTTTATTGCAATGCAGAGTTTTAACTCCTATCAGGAATGTGTATATAGGGGTTGGCTTTCATTTTGCATTGCAGAGAAATATAACAATAATTTAGCCTATAAAATTAATTTACCTTCTCCTTGGGTTTAGTGGTTTTCACCCTTCAGAGAAACACATTTAATGTCAGGGCTCTATGATGTGATTCCATTATGGAATGGAGAATGAGTTCACTACAGAGCTTTTATGCCGGCTGCAGTGCCCTATGATGTGATTCCATTATGGAATGGAGAATGAGTTCACTACAGAGCTTTTATGCAGGCTGCAGTGCCCTATGATGTGATTCCATTATGGAATGGAGAATGAGTTCACTACAGAGCTTTTATGCAGGCTGCAGTGCCCTGTGATGTGATTCCATTATGGAATGGAGAATGAGTTCACTACAGAGCTTTTATGCAGGCTGCAGTGCCTTGTGTAGTTCAGATCATTTGTGTACCTGCACTTGGTATGTGAGAATTATACTCACATACATCTATTTTAACATCCTGGTAGCATTTAGTACCAGTATTTTAGTATTTAGTAATTTAACTGTATTAGCTAATATTTCAGACTATGGAATACCATGCGATTTCTAATTAATTTTATTCACTTTTCCCCAGTTATTTGAAAAGAAAAAATAATTTTCAAATAAGCCTGAGCAGCTAGTGTGTGTTTGTGTGTGGTTTTTATTTTTTTGGTGGGGAGAGCGTTAATGTGTACACAAGTTAAAGTAGCACTGTCACCCCCAACCCTAAAAAATTAGTATTTCATGAAGACAGAATCTTTATGAAACTCTCACTTTGACTGTGTTGGACTTTCACTGAAATCCCAACCTAGTCAAAAGGTATACTGAGACAAAGTACTTTGTCTCAGTATTTTTCATATGATTGATAAAGCTTGACCCAACGCAAATCTATCACTGTCAACCCCAGTCATTTCCTCCAGCTGTCACTAGTGACGACTCTAGGAAAATTAAGCTCCTTCTGTGGAGGGTCTTGCTGGATCCTCCATAGACACCAATACTGTACTCTCACGCATTTGCTAGAGTACAGCATTAATGTGGCCTACTGGCAGTTGAAGGGGAGCAAACGAAACAGGATAGTGGTACCTGCTAGGGACAGGTTCAGGTAATCTCACCTTACCGCCTCCTGGCCACCAGACCCCAAGTGATGATGTTACCATTGGGGGTCTTTGCAAATTATCAAAAGACTTCAGACAGTGGCCGAGCCTCTTTAACATTTCTTATTTGAGGCTCTGATATCTGGTGCTTTAGATGGATTAGTAATAATACAGACACAATATATAAATCATTGGGACAATAGATGACTTGTTTAACTTTCATAAAATGTTCAACTCAGGTTGAGTCAGACTTGGCCAATATAATATAGCTATTAGATAGCACATTCATTATACAGTTGTTAAAGTGTATTTAAAACAGCATCAAAGGGCATATGAAACCTTGAATTAAGTACAGTAAAACTGGATATTAATATTATTAGAACTTAGTGAGGGACAGGTGAAGATCACGGTGGTGGGATCACTGGTAGAGACTAATACTAAGAATGAATGTGATTAGATTAGGAAACAAATGAAATGGTTAAGCCGTCAGCAGGAGATGACTGCAAAGAGTTAGGGTAATGCAGGGTGTGAACATAGATTAATGTGCTGTGAAGTTTTGTTTACCTATGTTCACATACACGTATCACTCATTTTACATCCTTCTCTCTTCAGGTGAGCCCCTTATCTCCTTTACCATGGACCCCACTGGCTCACTTATCCACGTGGACTTCCCAGATGTGGCCAGTTCCCTCCTGGAGAGCTTGAACCAGCAGCGTGTGGAAGGCAAACTGTGTGATGTGTCCATCCATGCACAGGGTCGTGTGTTCCGTGCCCATCGTGCTGTCTTGGCAGCTTCATCTCCTTACTTCCATGATCAGGTGCTGCTCAAAGGGATGAGTTGTGTGTCGTTGCCCGGAGTTGTAGATCCTGGTGCATTTGAGGCGGTTCTGTGTGCTGCCTACACAGGCCGTCTGACTATGTTAGCCGATGAGATTGTTAACTACTTGACAGTGGGCAGCGTGCTACAGATGTGGCATGTAGTTGATAAGTGTTCTGAGCTTCTAAAGGAGTCTCGAGGTGGTGCCAGCTGTGGCAGTGTTGAAGGAACGAGTACCGGCAGTGTTCCAACCCCTCAGCGTTCTCACTCTGGCAGAGCAAGTGAGAACCAGTCTCCGAGCAGCAGTAACTATTTCAGTCCACGTGAGGCCCCACCAGAACCTTGTGGAGAAAGAATTATGAGAAAGAATGAAGCAGCCAGTGAGGCTGCAGAAGAGGCGAGTGTTGAGGCAGAGCAAGGTGGAGGAGAAGTCTCCGTGGCAAGCTGCTCTAGTTATAGGCGACCCAGTATCGTACCACAGAGGCATTGGGTGTATGTGAAAAAAGAAAGGCCTCACCAGGGCCTGTTGTTAACATGTGAGGGAGAGGAAGAGGAAGAAGATGAAATGGAGGAGGATGAAGAGGAAGAAGAGCACCTGAGCATTAGTGATGTACGAACACTAAACGCCCCTGAAGAGCAAGTGAACTTCTGTGAACCATCAGATGGCATGCCATATGAGGATGGTGTAGGTGGACCAGGTTATCCACAAGGTCCCCCACTTCTACCTCTTGACATGCAAGGGAACCAGCTACTAGTTTTGCCATCAGGACATGGGGCAGCAGGACAAGGTGGAACAGGAACGGGACAAGGAGGGGAGGGTGGAAAAATATTCTTGTGCCACTGTGGGAAGGCATTTTCTCACAAGAGCATGCGGGATCGCCACGTCAATATGCACCTCAACTTACGTCCCTTTGATTGTCCCGTATGTGGAAAGAAGTTTAAAATGAAGCATCATTTGACAGAACACATGAAGACGCACACCGGGGTAAAACCATACGAGTGTGAAGTATGTGCCAAGAAATTCATGTGGAGGGACAGCTTTATGAGGCATCGTGGCCATTGCGAAAGGAGGCATAGGGCAGGAGCTGGGGCTAGTGTGGTTCAAGGAATCAAAGAGACTCCTGCTGTGTAAACAACTAAAAGACTCCTACTGTGGTGGACACTGTGGAAGTTGACTAAATGGAGGAATTATAGCAGAGGGTAGAGTCTTCCAGTGTTTGGGTAACCAGAAGAAAAGGAAAAAAAAGTAGGCATTGGGATTCATATTGAAAAAAGGAGTAAAACATAAGACACAATGGAAGTTCTATCCCCAGACCATTAATTTCAGTTCCATAATCTCAATGCAGTAATTATTATTTCTTTTCCCTGGATGACGCCACCATGCTATTTGTCACAGACTCCTCCACCGCATTTCCGCAGGTTTCCACCTTCTACATTGATCCAAACATGCAATCACTTGCCCCTACAGAGAACTTTAAGCCCATGCAGAACATTGCTTGCCTGCAGATGGCAGTAGCACCCAGCTAACTGAATGCTCCTCCAAATCTGTATTTATATGATGCTGGGCTGGGCCCCCTAACTGTCCTAGGGCAATAAGGTACTTGTTGAGTGTCGTGAAGGTAACGCAACTACTGTACAGCTTTTGAGTTTAACAAGATGTGTGCACACTACAACTCCCTCTTACCCTGTCTCCCTGTACACTGCTTGTGCATAGTCATAGAATCTCTCTCTTATTTAAAACCAGGACTGACGGTTATGTTCCCTCTATATTCTGTATCTATACACACACAGTATTTATATATGCTATGTACAGGTAACAATGGTAGTTTGAATGAAATTGCTGGGGGAGTCCCAGGATGAGTGGGGTTGAAAACTGTCAAGGAAGTTGTTGGATTTGCACTTTTTTTTTTTTTTTTTAAATGGGCTAGTTATTTAACATGAATTGGCATTAATCAAAAAAGCATGTAAATATATTTCTCAAGTTTCTCATAAAAACAAAAAAAAAACAACAACAATTCAACGATTTTACAGGTATGTTTATCTTTTTATTTCAAGCGGCTCGTTAATTGATTAATTAGGCAAACAGCAACAATAACACCTCTCTTAAAAGCCACCTTCTTTTTGTTAAGTCCAGCACCAGATGAACACGCATTATAATTTTTTTTTGAAGCCCCCCACCCCTAGCTTTTACAAGAAAGGTAGGGCTGCCAAAAAACTCTCTCATCCTTTTTGACCCATGACATACTGATAGTGACACTAGATTAATAGATGAATGGAATGAACCAAGTTATTTGAAGATGACAGATCCACGTTTTGAGCAGGGTGTTGCTGGGAGACACAGAAAGAACCAAAATATATAGAGTAAAATTGTCCCCCCCAGCCTGTCAGGTGGTTTATCCATGAACAGTGCCGTGTCACATGACTCAGGCTTGTTAAACCCAAACCAGTCAATCTGTAGAAATTATAAATATGTAGTTAAAAAAAAAAATCTGGTTTTACATTTGACTGGCTTTTTGCAATGTCAATGATGCATTAGTCACTTTTCTCATTTAAATATGTGCATACAAAATACAGTATTACTTTAACCTCTCTTAGAAAATGTCTAGCTGAAAGTTTATATTAGGGACTAGATTCCAGTGAAACTTTTAGACATATGTACAGCCAATTGCACAGTCTCGGAAAAATAGAATTAATGTACATATTTGCAAGTGATTTGGCAATCACAGTATTTAAACTTAACTGCCTTAACTATAAGGGATTGAATCATCCATACATTTGATTAATTTTAATGAGTGGCGACTCAGCTTCTTTCTGTCATCATATGAATATATGGTTCCATGTAATCATTTTTTTTATGCTTAAGTGTTTTAGATTTATGGGCCCCCATTTTTATTTAAAAAGTTAAAAAAAAAACCAAACACACACACAATTCAGCTTACCTTTATTTTAGCTTCGTGACAGACTCCTCACTGCAGCCCAATCCTTCTACTGTGATGTCATCAAACTTGATGACGTTTGTCCTATGAAGAGCTTTTCATAAAGAAGAATTGTGGCCATACGGTACATGCGCAGCAAGCGTCCCAACCTGCCATTTTATTACTTCCCATAGAAAGGCATTGGACACACCCCAGCATCCTGGTATTGACATACTTTGCTTGTTGACGTTGGACTTAAAATAAATTTCAATTATTGCAAAATGAAAACACTGTTATTTCTCATAAACAGCACTCTTATCAGCTGCATAGCTTCAGAGCTGTGACTGTGCCCCATAATCATGATTTAATGCTCGGACTGTCCCTTTAATATTATGTGCAAATGCATACAAGATCCTAAGTTATGTTATCTATACACCGATATACACGTCTACATATTTACACACATTCACAATAGCCTTGTACACATACACTATATATATATATATATATCTATATATATATATACTTAGTGCTGTATATGACACATTCTGATACTTAGAAGATAGTTGTAGATGTGCTTATTGAGAATATGTATATATTTTTCATACATATTTGTATATAAACAGTGTCTAGCGTAGTCACAGGTTTTTTAGGTTTATGATGGCCATATCATAAGCTCTATACAGTGCCCTAATATGTATACAGGCAGGCAATGTCAGGTGTGTGCGTGTGGTTGTGTGTATATGTGAATTCAGTATACAGTATACCTGTCTTCACACTGGGGGCAGCAATCATCCAATTAAAATGCCTGGACATGATACATTGTAGGTAAGTGGAAATCAATCCATTTAAAAGTTTTTCACCTGAGCACTGCTTCCATATAAAACACTTCAATGTCTTCACATAGGAAAGTCTGAGGAAAAGAAAGGTAAGGAAATATTGTGCTGAACAGGTAAGTAAAATATGTAAAGAAAGTGAATATCGGGATAGTGAGCTCCAAAATGGCTGCCACTTGTTGATAAATTTTATAGGTTACATGACATGGAAAAATGTATGAAAGGACACACTGTAATCAGTTACATTTTAAAGCAAGTTAATGCTGCGTAATGCTTATATTAAATATAATATAGCCAGTTGGATAGGGCTAAATATGAGGTAATTCGGAGTCACAGTTTATTTCCAAGCAAGGTTAGGTAAGTTGGTAACAGTAACATCTAGACCCAAGGGGACTGTGAAGTCATGTTTCCCTGGGTCCACTCAGAGTAAGTCAAGTAATATAGACAGAGAGGACCGCTCAGCCTTCTACTATACAAGGGCTTCAGGCTAATTACTTTGGGCTACCTTCAGACAAAGCGTACTCGGCCATATACATCACAATGCTATTTACATCATTCTGCTGTGTTCACCTTCTGTGTTTATTTGTATATATATATATATTTTTTTTTTTACTATGGTTTCCTTCACATGGTTTGATAGACATAGTCAAGCTGTAAAAAAATAAACACTATAGAACGTTCAAAAAAATGTATTGAAACTCAATAGATAGTAGTCTAAGGAAGGAGTCAGAGTGCAGTGTCACTAATTGTCCTTAGAGTGCCACGTTTCGGAGTGACTCAAGGACAATACCCAGGTTTACAGTTTAGTATTTCACACACACAAAAATAACACTGCCTAAAACACAGGAGCTCAGTGGCTTAAACACAGGCTCCTCAGGAACTCTTGATTGTTCTGACTGTAGGTTACTGTACTTACATTTCAACAAAGCTCAAAGACTATTGTTGGTGTAAATATTTGTAATGAAAAGATAATAAAACCAGTACTTAACTGTTACGGTATAGCCATTTGTTGTATGTATGAGTATTTTGTCACAGGTTTATCTATAAATTCATATATATGTGTGTGTGTGGGGGTATAGATAGCATGAATATAGACTGCTGGTTCTTCGAAGACTGACATAAAGACTTGGGCAATATATACAGGCCTGCCTTTATATGATATCTGTACACGTGAGTGTGTATATGGCATATATAATACACACACTTCCCCATCTTTTCTATGCTATAATTTATTGTAGTTGGAGGGCATGACCCTTGTTACGGTAACTAATTACTGTTGGCTCGTTAGAATAAAGTATGTTTTACCCGAAGGTTTGTGCGTTTCTGTGAAAATAAGAATTTGTAGAGATTTTTCATTTTCCCTTTAAACAGAATATGCACCACAACACAGTCTATGACCTCCTCAGCATTGTGTTATGTCTGTGTGCAGACATTGTGTACTTACACTGACAATGCGCCGTGTACAGTTTCCACCAACAATCTTGTATTATTGATTCGACTGCTCAGTAAGGAACTCTGGACCAAACATGTTTGATGTACAGGAACAAGTGGTGAGTCCTCCTGCTAAGAAGACATGACAGTCTGGAACAGTTTTGAGTTCAGATTCATAACAGGCCATTATAAAATTCCATTTATTCAGGATATAGAGCCAGTACCTTGTGGTATTGTCCATTCGTCACTTGATGCCATGCAAATATGATATAGGGAAATTGCTATAGCAATTAATGGGGTGTTTTTTTTGCGGGCGTGAGGGGGCACTGTTAAGTATAAAGAAATGAAAAGTGGAAAAGGAATTGTGTTTCAGACGGCTTCACAGCCCTATACTACAAAACATTAATTCCTTCTACTTTCCTATCTATGTGATGTATTTAATGCAACCCTGCAGAGCACTAGATTACCCTTTGATATGCTATCTGCTAACATTTGCCTTATTCCCAAACAAGACAAGGGTCACGACAACCCAGGTAATTAGTGTCCTACCTCCTTATTAAATGTGGACATAACATTAATGATCAAAGTACTAGTGAACAGACTAAATCCCTTTTGAGGCACCTTGATCCATCCTTACCAAGTAGACTTTATTCCTGGGCACCAAGCAGCTGACAGTACTAGACAATGCACCAACCTTATTTGGCTTGCTTTACACAACCACCTTTCTTTAACTTTAATCTTCCTTGATGCAGAGAAGGTTTGCTGATCGTTGTCCAAGAGCAGTTCGGCTTCCCCCGCAACAATTTACACTTCTCATAGCCCCATATGACTTACCTATAGGATGTCTCCTGAAACCTAACATTCACCCACCCTCCTTTACTATAGCAAATGGCACCAGGCAGGGTTGCCCACTATCCCCTTAATTATTTGCCCTCTTCATGGACTGCCTTTAATAGGTGGTCCGGCTTAGCCAGAGAGTGGAAAGCATGAAGATATGGGGTTCGGAATTCATAGTTGCAGCGTATGCTGACGATGTTCTTTTAATGATCAGAAATCCTGACTCCTCTGTAGAAGCACTCTCAGATCTTCTATACCAATACACTAAAATATCCAAATACAAACTTAATCTCTCTAAGTCTGAACTACTCCCTGTTAACATCATCGGCCACTATCTCCCTTTCAGATCGCAGACTCCCATCAAATAATTAGGGATTAATATCCCCATAGCTCTCTCTTCTTTTTACAACATCAACTACACTTCTCTTCTACAAGCAGCACACTTTAATATTCTCCAGTGGAGAAACCCATGGGTGTCCTGATTGGGATTGGTCATCTCAGTTAAGATGAACCTGCTTCATAAAGTTCTTTTATGCCTTTCAGACACTCCCAATCCCTATCAAACATTTGGATTTCCGACTTTTTCACACTGCCATAGATCATCTGGAGCTACAAACAACCTTGAATACACAGATCTACATTATATGTAGCCAAGTCACATGGTGGACTAGACTTACCAAATGTTAAACATTACTACCCAGCAGCTCAGTTGGCAGTCATTCAACAGTGGCATGTGCCACCAGGACAGAGGAGATGGGTAGATTTAGAGCACCACATTTTTGGCAAAGATCCCCCCTCCCTCTATATGTGGATACCGAAATATCATCTACTGCTGCCTCCCACCTCCCTTGCGATCACTCACTCTCTCGATATATTGGATAAAACAAAAGACAAATTAGAACTCACGTCCTTTATTTCCCCACTTACACCTATTTTAGGGAACAAAATATTTCCCTCGGGGACTAACCCCAAAGCTCCTTGCCTGTTTTGAAGACAAAGATATTGTGCGATTCTGTCATCTTTATTCACTGTCTGCAATAATTGCTTACAAAGACTTACCTAACTCCTCCACGCTTACGACGTTTGACTATTTTAGATATATTAAATTACATAACCTGGCCTCTTTTCCAGCTGTCAAAGAAGTAGCTAATCCTACCCTGACCATCTTATGGAGGCACCGATCCTGAAAGGACATGTGTCCACATTATACACAGCATTAGTGGCACTTTCCATGCAAATCACATTGCCCTATATTAACGCTTGGGAAAGAGATTTAGGACCTTCGGAGGAGTCCAGCTATCAGATATATGGGAAGCTACATCTTGCCTCACGGTATATGTTGGCCATAAAGAGCAAGCATGTAAGATGCTCTTCTGCTGGTATGTTACTCCTCTCCCTACGAACCTGTGCTGGAAGGGCTGTGGAATCCTTTCTGCATTGCTGGTGGACATGCCCTAAACCAAGCATCAATGGTGTGTGTGTCTGTCAGTGAGTGTGTGTGTTGGTCAGTGTTGCATGGAGGCACCCAATGCCATGTCACATTCTGATGTGACAGCAACATGCTCCACCTTCACAGGGTTTCAAGAAGTAGTGGGAGGATCAGATATGGCACAGGGTTCGGACGGCGCCATTTGGGGTATACCAGAGGCTGGAATCCGGAGTCGCATACTGGCAGCAGCAATGTGAGTGGAGTCTGCTTGTTGGCTAGAAGGGGGTGCTGGGATTTAGTATATGGGGGAGGACTAGGATTTAGTATATGGGGGTGACTGGGATTTAGTATATGGGGGGACTGAAATTTAGTATATGGGGGGACTGGGATTTAGCAGAGTGGGAGGACTGGGATTTAGTATATGGGGGACTGGGATTTAGTAGAGGGGGAGGACTGGGATTTAGTATATGGGGGGACTGAGACTGGGATTTAGTATATGGGGGGACTGAGACTGGGATTTAGTATATGGGGGGACTGGGATTTAGTATAGGGGGATGCTGTTTTTTTTTTTTTTTAATACTGTAATTTTCGGGGAAAAACGTTTCTATGAAAATTTAAGGTTTGGGGTTTTTTTGCGGCCCACATAAACTTAAAGGACCACTATAGGCACCCAGACCACTTCAGCTTAATGAGGTGGTCTGGGTGCCTGGTCCATCTAGGGTTAACCCTTTTTTCTATAAACATAGCAGTTTCAGAGAAACTGCTATGTTTATGTTAGGGTTAATCCAGCCTCCAGTGGCTGTCTCATTGACAGCCGCTAGAGGGCTTCCACGTTTCTCACTTTGAATGCTTTCCTATGGACTGGCTCAATGCCCGCGCGGCTCCTGCCACGGACGCGCATTCAGCCGAAGAGGAGGAGGAGAGCTCCCTGCCCGGCGCTGGAGAAAGAGGTAAGTTTAACCCCTTCCTCTCCATCCAGCCCGGCAGGAGGGGGACCCTGAGGGTGGGGGCACCCTCAGGGAACTGTAGTGCCAGGAAAACGAGTATGTTTTCCTGGCACTATAGTGGTCCTTTAAACCTTGTTTTGTGGCCCGTGCTAGACTTTAAGTTTGACATGCTTGCCTTAAACACACTCATTTGCCTCAACAATTTTGTATTCCTATCACTATAGTTTCCCTTTAAACTGCAATAAATGTGTTTAGAAATCAGTGTGTGTAAATAAGATACATTGTCTTTGTTCTAAATTCCATTTTAGGTGCATACATTGTTATTAGTAAGTCACCTAAAAACTTCTCAGAACAGCTCCTCACATAAAATCAGTGTCCCTCTCTGTCTAGTATGAAATACACAAAAGTGATGTCACAGTGACAAAGCCAGGTTTAAAGGCATTTTCTCTGTATGTGCAGCATTGCACATACAGACTCCAAGTACCATGACCATCTCAAAACATTGAAGTGGTTATGGTGTTTGGCGAAACCATTTAAATTCCAGGAATCAATATAGTGAGTATAACTGCACTGATGAAACTTATCACAAAAAATATCACTTGCAAAAAATTGTGTGTTAAAAGAACACATTTCTATAAGGGTTATTTACTAAACACTGAATTTTAAACTAAACTGAAATATTCAGAATTCACTATCCATGCAGTCTATACATTGTGTCCAAATATGTTAACAGTTAATGGAACACACTCTGTGATTAACCCCTTAAGGACACATGACATGTGTGACATGTCATGATTCCCTTTTATTCTAGAAGTTTGGTCCTTAAAGGGTTAAAGAAGCCATCAAGAAGGTAGCCAAAAACATTAAAGGGACACTATAGTCACCCAGACCACTTCAGCTCAATGAAGTGGTCTGGGTGCAATGTCCCTCAGGTTTTAACCCTTCAGATGTAAACACAGCAGTTTCAGACAGCCACCAGAGGTGCATCTGCAACGCTGGATGCAAATTTCGCATTCATCACGCAGAACATCTATAGGAAAGCATTGAGAAATGCTTTCCTACGGACACTTTGAATGCGCATGCTCATTCCGCTCCAGTGACGGGGGAGCTGATGTTGGCGGGGAGGAGAGGTCACCAGCGCCGGGCTGGATTAAAGTAAGTAACTGAAGGGGTTTTAACCCCTTCAGTGCCACGGGAGGGGGACCCTGAGGGTGGGGGCACCCTCAGGGCACTATAGTGTCAGGAAAACCGCTTTGTTTTCCTGACACTATAGTGATCCTTTAATACTTAGCTTTTAATTTGATCCAAATAAAAGCTCATTAACAGGAACAATCCATTGTAGTAAGTGTGACGTTAACCCTCTATAGTTTTTGCATATTTTGCGATATCATCACTTGGTGTATAACGGTCTGGAGATGCAGTGCAGGTGAGATATACTTACCTGATGCTGTCTCGCGCAGAAGCCCACATCAGTGCTGTACTCTCGCGCATGCACCCTACCCACACAAGCTTACCATCTAAAAGATTGTGCCATTAACAATCTTTATCTGTTAATGTGCTAACAGATTGCTATAAAATAATAAATTACTAATTGTGCTAAATGCAAATAATCGTGTCATACTTTGTAAGCATCTACTGAATTGTTGCCCCTTTGAGTACAATCCATTGTCTGTGTCCTCTTGGAATGTTTTCTTTTCATAAAGTTTAGAGTGTCTTGTAATCTGAAACAGACTGTCCTACATTGGCCAGATCTGAAATCGAGTAACTCGAACGATTGTTAAGTAAATGCCCTTGATTCCTATCCAGTAGAACGAGACACATTGTCAGCCAGCTCTCTCTGAGCATGTCTGGGACAAAGTGAAAGTGAAAGAAGAACGTTCAGATCAGAGGAAGAAAAAATAGAGAAAGAGTAAAGGACCAGACTCTGCAGTAATAAACAACACAACCCTCTAACAATCGAAAAAAGGACATTCTGCTGTCCGGAACCCTCGCACATCTTGCAATGCTGCCCTCCACTATTTATAAGCTGCTTCTACTGACTCTCTTTGGTAAGTGCTCCCAGGGTATCTGTCCTGGGGTCTGCCACATGTCGATGTATAAACCTGTCTCTTGCTCTCTCCTAAATGGCCACACTCCACTCTCACCTCCAGTTCTTCTACTTTCCCACCTTGTTTGGTTGCTGTCCCCCCTGATGCCCTTCTTACTGTGTTTGTTATACCCCACCTCCTCTAAACTGCCAGCTCATTTGAGCAGGGTCCTCATCAATCTATTGTTCCTGTAACATTTTGTAATTGTCTCATTTATTAATTGTTAAATTCCACGCATTGTGGAATAAGTTGGCGCTATAAAAATACCAATAATAATATTACTATTTAATCTAAACAATGACCTCCTCTTATATCTGCACCCCAAGTTTCTGTCTTTAGCCAATCTCCTGCTTTAACCCCTTAAAGACCATTGATATTTCATGCCACCATCGCAATCTGGTCCCTGCAGACACTGCCAATAACAACTCCTAGCTGGTTTGTTATGGTGGAATTATGTCCTCGATTCTAAATTGCTCAACTTGTGTGATCAAACTGCTGATTATATCAAGGCGTTTAAAAAAAAAAAATCCATAGTTCAGGGCTATGATGAATAAACTGCCCTGCTGTAATTATTTACTGTAAGTGTCAATAATATATCAGCTTCTCATTTTGTTTTCACCCTGTCTGTATCAGTGACTGTATGTGTTCTAGAATGCAAGGTGTTAATGAACAGTCACCCGAGAGCTCGGGGGTTAATTACAGATCAGGGCAGACTGGTACCAGGATTTAATTATATGTTTCTGTGCAAATCTAAATTTAGCAGACTGGTAAAGCCATTATAACAAGGCAATCAGAGCCCATAAATACTGAACCTCAGCAGACTTTCCCTACCGTCAAGGAGTTATTAACTAAACTGTGAATTGACATTGTAAATTTGAGGCCAAACTAGCAGAACTAGAATAATTCTCCTACTTAGCTATGTTTTCAGCTCAGCTATTTTGGCCTTAAGTTTGGAATTCATTTGTCAATTCCTGAATATTCACAGTTTAGTGAGTAAGCTTGTTTGGAATTAATAGCCCTACTTACAATGTCACTAGCTAGCCAACGAAAAATCATAATTCTTACTCCACTATACAACTGTGTTACTTGCACCCGGCTACTGGGCTAGTGGATATTCGCAGTTCTATGTGAATAGATACTTGTTTGTGCGTTTCTTTG